ATTACTACTTACATGTGGTTTCTTCATTTGTAGTTAAACTAAAAGAAGTGTTTGTCTTGTTTTTCCTTGATTTATGCACACAAACATAAAGAAAATATCTTAATAGACTGGATTGACCTAATTATTAATTTGTTCTTTTCCCTCTTTCCAAATCTCACTACACTTATTTTTAGGAGAAACAAAAAGTATGACTTAACAAAGGCTATCATTCAAGTAATCTCATTCAGCCAAAACTGCCCTGGGGAATTACATTGAGGAAGTTTTCTACAAGACTAAATTGCTGAATCTGATCAGTCTATACGAATCGCAGAATAAAGTTGTTTACCTTAAAAGGAAAAGGGACTTTGTCTTAGCATTTTAATCTTTCTTATAGACTGTTTAGAAACTTTGTAATAAAATAACTGCTCTGTAAATTTTACTGGGGCAGTTTCAGTTGTTTATTTAGAATTTAATATAACCTGGCACATTTGTAATTTTGTGTTTATTGAATTTTTCATTTGAGGAATTTATTTTTGAATAATTTTATTTTAAAATTATTTAGAATTTAATATAACCTGGCACATTTGTAATTTTGTGTTTATTAAATTTTTCATTTGAGGAATTTATTTTTGAATAATTTTATTTTAAAAGAGGATCAGTGTAAACAATTTAAATAAAGAGAACTACAAAGAAGAAAGTAAAAATGACATTTCACCTCTTAGAGATTTCCACTGCTAACATCATGAACTTCTCATTATTGTTTTATGCACACATGAACCTCTGTGTGTGTTTAGGGGGCATATGTATATACATATATACTATACATATATGCATAAATCATGTTCATATTGTTCTCTTTTTCTCACTCTATATCCTGGGTATTTAAAAAAATGATTAATTAATGCATTTTATTTTTTTAGAGTGATTTTAAGTTTACAACAAAATTGAATGGGAATTATATAAAAATGTCCATATACTTTCTGCCCCCACAACATGCACAGCTTCCCTCACTATTAACAACCTGCACCATAGTGCTACCTTTGTTATAACGAATAAACCTACATTGACATACTGTTTTTAGCCAAAATCCATAGTTTACTTTTGATTCACTCTTGGTGGTGCATATTCTAGGGATTTAGGTAAATGTATGACTTGTATTCACCATTATAGTAGTTGCACTGCCCTAAAACCCCTCTGTCTTCTGCTTACTCACCCCTTATCTCCCACCTCCAACCCCTAGAAACCACTGGTATTTTACTATCTCCAATGCTTTGCTTTTCCATATGTCATATAGTTGGAATCATACAGTATGTGGCCTTTTCAGATTGGCTTCTCTCACTTAGTAATATACATCTGATTTTTCTTGCTGTCTTTTCATGGCTTGATAGTTCATTTCTTTTGTGTTGAATAATACTCCATTGTCTGGATGTACCACAGTTTATTTATCTGTTTACTCTCTAAAGGAAATCTTGGTTGCTTCTAAAATTTGGTAATTAGGCTACAACTACTGTGAACACTCGTGTGTGTTATTTATTTATTTTATTGAAACATGAGTGCATTACAATGTTATGTAAGGTTCAGGTGTTCATCATTGAGAATTAACATATGTCTATACTACATTAAATTTGCTATTGAAAGTCCAAATTTAAATTGGGTAAATGGGAACATTTATATACTGGATGATTGGATAAAGTAAAATACAAACTACACTGTGAGGATGCTGAGGTTTAGGCAGGGATGGGAGAAAGGTCAAGGGAATAGAAAGGATGGTGGTAGGGAAAAATATAAAGTAATGGGGTAAAATTTACTATCTAATAAAGGACAGGAAACAAGTAATTACAGACGAGTGTGATGAGTGCTATGAGATAGGGAGACGGGATCCTGTGACAGTGAAGAGGAAGGACACCTAGCTTAGTTTGAGGCTTGGAAAAAGGTAGAAATAATCTTAGAATCTTACCAGAGGAAGTAAAACTTAAGCTGGGGCTTAGGGACTAATGAAGTCAAAAAGTGAGACTGAGCAGGAAGACATTCTCCACAGAAGGAAATAGCACATGTAAAGGCACAAAGCATGTCATAGCAGATAGCATGCCACGTTTATTGAAGTAATAATATTAAAAATGGCTTCAGTGTACGAAGAGGGACTGGCAAGAGAGATAGCTGAATAATTCGCAGATGTCATTTCATGAAGGACCTCGTATATCATCCTCAAAGCTGGGAGTCTAAACATGAACAAGGCCAAGTTCTTGATGTACATGTTTATAGCTATAATTCTCATTTTACATCAGCAATTGTCAAATTAACAGCTCTAGCCCAGACCTCACCTTTGACCTCCAGATCTATATATACAATTACCTAGTTGGCCTGTCTAGAATATATCAAGACTGTAAACTCCATGAAAACAAATATCTATCTCACCTTGTTCTAAACTATATCAACACTGTCTTTAACAATGTCTGGAAATAATTTATTGAATAGTTAAATAAATGAATAATTCTCTTATCTCTCAGAGTCATCTCCATCACCACATAAATCATATTAACAGTCTCCTTTTAATCTGCCCCTCTCCTAATTTTCCAGTGATTGGCACCATCTATTTTACTTCTATTTAATTTCACAAACCAGGGAACTAGATGTAGCTTTGATATCTCCCTCTTTCTCACATTCCACATACATTTTATCACTAAGACATTGTATTTTTGACACATTTCCTCATATGTCCGTTTCTCTCCATCTCTACTGCTTCAGTCCCAAACACTAGCATCTATCCCTTGGTCCTATATAGCAGTAAATTCTCGACGTCTGCTCTTGTCCCTTTTAGTTTATTCTCTGTACTGCTTTTGAAAAATAAGCAACCTCAAATCTGATTCTGTCATTCCTGTTTGAGACCAGTTGCTCGGAGGATAAAGAACAAACTTCTTAACATGGTCTGTAAGGCCCTATGTGCTCTGATCCCTGTCTCACCCTATGGCCACATCTTGTTCCCTTTTTTTAACTTTCTGTTCTCTGGTGACATTAGTTTTTTTAAATTCTTCTTACAGACTATGCTTTTTCCTGCTCAACTATAATGTATAATTAGTAGCCTTTAATACATATTGTAAAATGGAATGTCTATTGTTAGATAAATGAATGTATCAGTACTTTTGAGTAGATATTTATAACCCTAAAAGGGTAATGTTCTGTGCAACATTATTTTCTTGAAAAGTAAACTGCCTATGAATTATTGCAAATAAGCTTAAAGATTTTCAGTTATAATTTGTTCCTCTTTTAGATTATATTACACATCTCAATTTTCCCTCAAGTTAGTTTAAAACAAACACTTATGAACTACATTCATTCTTATTTTAAAGTAAGAAAACATTTTTCTTTTGTAAATGTACACTATTCTATTTTTTTAAAAGCTGCAGTATTGAGATAGGAAGAAAATGTAGGAATTGCCTCTATGTAAAAATAAAACAACTATTAGACTTAATATGAAAGGAGGAACAATTAGTTTAAATGGAAGTCTCCATTTGAAGATACTTATTTTTATAGGATTTCAAATCAGAGTAGCTGCAGTGCTGGAAAGATGGTGGAGCAAGAGCAAAGGAAAAAGATCCCTTTGGTTCCAGAAAATCTGAAAAAGAGGAAGGTTTATCAGGCCCTCAAAACCACCCAGGCAAAGCAGGCAGTTTTGGAAAAGAAGAGGAAAGGGAATGAACTCAGATTTAAGTGAATATAGTGGTTCCTGCATGGTTCTTGGTGGTAACAATGTGACCAAGTATACCTCAGAAGACTAGACATGAAAACTCATGACTTGGAAATGCCAGATAAACATTCTTTGGCTTTGTTGTAAAGGACTAATCAGGTGAGTTTACTGATGTAGAGGACCACTGCAAGACTTGACCTGAAAAAGATTTCCAGGGGTGTCTTTGTCAAAGCGACCCTCCAGTCATAAAAATGCTTCTTACATGGAATGTTTTGTGATGTGAGAATTTCCAAATTTGAAATATGTCAGGAAACTCATCTTGAAATGTAGACAAGCCAAGGTTAAGAATAAGACTATTTGACAGACAACACCGAGACTGAGGAGCTCTTGGGAAAATTTGGTGTCATTTACTTGCAAGACCTCATTCGTGAAATTGCCTTCCCTAGGAAGTATTTCCAGGTGATCTCAGGGTTATTGTGCTCTTTCCACCTCTCATCATAGCATGGCCCATCACACTACCAAGAACAGAATGGGCTTTCTCAAGAATATGGGCTCTCTTGGCTATCCAGGTGAACTATGCCCAGAATGTTTGAAAATACAAAGCATTGAGAGCATGTGTTTTTGTTTTTGGATTTGTTGTCCATGTCTTCAAAGAAGATTGTTTTCTGCCTTATTTTCAGAAACTGGAGAGAAAGGGGGAGGGAAAACCTAATGTTCACGCAGGCACTTCTCATTACAGTCTGATTCTAAGGAAGAGTTTCCCTGTGTTTTCCAGATTGGCCTCTGCTACCGCCTCTGAAAAGAGTGAAGGACTAATGTCATGGAAGGGAGTCCTGTTTTGTCAAATCTTGTATCTTGGGGTTTAATGATGGTGAATGAAAACCCACGCATTTGTACAAGAAAGCAATGGACCATGCCCAGGGCATACTTGAACCTGGGTGTTTCTAGGGTTTTGTTTTGGAAAGAGCTTAAAATATAACTAAAAGAGCACAAAATCAGTAAGAGAAAAAAAAATTTCAAATTACCTTCCCTAATTACAAATAAAACAAATAGTGGATAATCTCATAAACAGCAAAGATGGATTGTGTTTCTAAATTTATTTATTATATTTAATTGTGAATAATTGGGCAAGATTGGTATGTGATAATTTTATTGCTTTGTATGTGGTTTTAGGTGCTTTATGTAATTAAAATAGTCATAGGATATATTCTGTTCAGCCAAATGAGAACTTGGTTAGATCATTTTTAGTTCAAGTTGTATCTAATCACTTGAGTAACCTTAGCAGGTGTGTCACCATATAATATGTACTTACTACTTCCTTTTTTTTTCTTTTAAGTCAATACTAAAGACTAAACCTTTCAGAAGCATGCAACCAAGTGATGGCTTTTTACTTAAAATTTGAATATGGAGGCCACAGGAACAGATGAAGTTGACAAGTTAAAAACTAAATTTGTATCTGCTTGGAACAACATGAAATATAGTAAGTATAAGGTTTTAAAATTGTATGAATCCAAGACATGTATCATCTTCCTTATTAAGTTATTGACAAAAATACTTGTGGTTCTTTGTGAATGAAATATTTCTATAAGGAATAAGACTGTCGCTCAAAGAAAGTGTCAAGTTATGATAAACATTGCTTAGAAACACAAGCATACTATGTGGTCCCTCCCCAATGCCTTTTCTAGAAGATATTTTCCTTTCTCCATTGTATGGTCTTGTCTCCTTTATCATAGATTAACCTGTCCATGTATGTGTGGTTTTTTTCTGGGCTTTCACTTCTAATCCATTGTTCTATTTGTCTGTTTTTGTTCTAATACCATACTGTTTTGATTACTACCACTTTGTAGTAGAGTCTGTAGTCAGAGAGCATGATCCCTCCATATTTCTTCTTTCAGGATTGTTTTGACTATTCAGGTTCTTTTGTGGTTCCATCCAAATTTTAGAATTATTTGTTCTATTTCATTGAAAATGGCATTGGGATTTTCATAGGGATTGCATTGAATTTGTAAATTGCTTTTGGTAATGGCCAATTATACAATATAGCCACAATGTATATCTTCTAATTCATTAACACTGGATGTCTTGCCATTTCTTTGTGTCTTCTGTTGATATATCTTTTAACAATGCCTTACAGTTTTTAGTGTATAGGTTCTTCATTTACTTTGTTAAGTTTACTCCCCGGTATTTTATCCCATTTGATATGATTGTGAAAGGTATTGTTTTCTTAATTTATTTGTTCTAATTAATGTGTATAGAAATGCAATAGATTTTGGTATGTTGATTTTGTATCTTGCCACATCACTTTATTCATTTATTATTTCTAGTAATTTTTTGAAGTCCTTTGGATTTTTTTTTAAGATTTATTTATACATACAAGAATTGGGTTACAGACCAGAGTTGTAGGGGGTGAGAGGATTCACCAGAGACAGAGTGGGGAACAGAACCGGCAGATCAACTGAAATACACTGCTGAGGGGAGCAGTGGGCAAGTCAGGAGAGGTTTGCTGCTGCATGTGGGTAGCTCCCTGGCCAGGGATTGAACTCATGCTACCGTGGTTGCAGCTAGCTTCATAGGTTGCGTCTTAATCCCTTGCACCACTAGGGAGGCCCTCCTTTGGATTTTTTATGTATATCATTATGGCATATGCAAATAGTAATTGTTTTACTTCTTCTTATCCAATTTGGATCTCTTTCACATCTTTGTTGCCTAATTGCTTTGACTAGAACTTCTAAAGTTATGATGAACAAGTGGTCAGATTGGGAATCTCTATTTCTGATCTTAAGGGAAATATTTTCAGTTTTTCACCATTTATTATGATGTTAGCAGTAGGAGAAATACTCAGTTGAGTCTGGTCAACCCATAGAACTGTGTGAGATAAGAAAAAAATTTCAAGTTTAGGATGGTTTACTGAATAGATATAGATAACTGAAATTCTGTTGTAATCTTTAAAAAAATTTTTAAATATTTATTTATTTATGCAAACAAGAGCTGGGGTGTACAGGCCAGAGGTGCAGGGGGGTGAGAGGATTCACCAGAGACAGAGTGGGGAACAGAACAGGCAGATTGACTGAAATACACTGCTGAGGGGAGCAGCGGGCGAGTCAGGAGAGGTCTGCTGTGCCATGTGGGTAGCTCCCTGGCTGGCTGGGGATAGAACTCGTGCTGCAGAGGCTGCAGATTGCTTCATAGTGCTGTGTTTAACCCCTTGCACCACCAGGGAGGCCCTAAAATTTTTTTTTTGTAATTGAAGGAAAGTTAAAGTAAAATGAACAAATCTTAAAAGTTTGTGGATTTGATTTTCCATTCTTTCTTTTTCACCACCAAATCCAGATACTTGTACTGTCTTTATTGTAAAATACATCTCTTTTACTTATTTGTATTACAGTACTTTTGGGAACATTTTCATAAAAATCATAAGATGTAAAGAAATACATGAAATTGGTAATATTGTTTTTGGGAAAAGATGTTGGTGTCAGGGAAGCTGGAGGAGAATTTGTACCTTTTAATTTTATTTTTTAAATTTTTTTATGGCTTTTACATATTTATTTATTTATATTTATTTATTTTTAATTTTTTTAATTTTTAAATTTTTTAAAAAAGATTTATTTACTTTTATATAAGGACTGGGGTACAGGCGAGAGGCACGGGAGGGTGAGAGAATTCACTAGAGACAGAGTGGGGAACAGAACAGGCAGACTGATGAAATATATTGCTGAGGGGAACAATGGGCTGACAGGAGAGGTCTGCCGCGCCATATGCGTTGCTCCCTGGCCGGCCGGGAATCGAACCCGCACTGCAGAGGCTGTGGACAGCTTCACAGCACTGCGCTCAACCCACTGCGCCACCGGGGAATCCCTATTTTTAATTTTTTAAAATTAATTTTTTTTATTTTTACATCGTTGTTCATTTTTAAACAATATTTCCTTTCCCCCATCTCCTCAGGTGTAGTCCCCATAGAGTTTTCTTTACCAATGCACCTGTGCACCATCACCTCAGTCCCCTCCGCTCCTCCCTCCCTCCCTCTCATCCCTCTCCTTCCTCCTCCCCTGCAGGATGTCTCTGATTTATAATTGTCTGTTTTTCTTTGTTGTGTTTTGTACTGTTACTATTTTTTTACACTGATGTCTTATTTGGTTCCCCTATATTCCTGCTATAAGTGAAACCATCCAATATTTTTCTTTTTCCTTCTAGCTCCATCCATGTTGCTGCAAATGGCATGAGTTTGTCTTTTTTGATTGCTGAATAATATTCCATTGTGTATATGTACCACATCTTCTTGTTCCAGTCATCTATTTTTGGGCATTTGGGTTGTTTCCAGGTTTTGCCTATTGTAAATAGTGCTGCAATAAACATAGGTGTACAGGTTGTACCTTTTAATTACATATAAAACATATGACCTGTTTGAAAATAAATTACAATTAAGGTTAACTTTTAAATGCTATTTAAGTGGATAGAATGTGGCTAAAATATTTATTTGAAAGTAGCATTATTGACCTGTAATATTGACCTGTATTTTTTTTAAGATTATTTATGCATACAAGAGCTGGGGTACAGGCCAGAGTTGTGTGGGGTGAGAGGATTTACCAGAGACAGAGGAGGGAACAGAACAGGCAGATTGACTGAAATACACTGCTGAGGGATGCAGCGGGCGAGTAAAGAGAGGTCTGCTGTGCCATGTGGGATGCTCCCTGGCTGGCAGGGGATCGAACTTCTGCTGCAGATTTTCAATTCATTGTCCCAATACTTTGCTACTTTGAACAAAATGTATATCCATACTTGAGAATTGCTCATTTGAAATTAAATACTGACAGACTATTAATCTGAAACCCTTTAACTACAAAACTATTGTTTTTTTTTTGTTGTTGTTTAGGTTGGGTGTTGAAAACAAAGACATATTTTAGTAGAAATTCCCCTGTATTATTGCTTGGAAAATGTTACCATTTTAAATATGAAGGTAAGTGCTAAATTTGTAACCCCTTGCAATTTGAGGCCTTTTGTGAATCCATATAAATTTTAATATATATTTTTTCAATGTCTTTGAGAAATATTGCTGATATTTTGATTTGGAGTGTGTCCAATTTATATATTATTTTTTAGGCAGGATAGTAATTTTGATTATATTGATTCTCTCCATCTAAGTACATGGGATAGACTTCCACGTTCTGATGTTAATCTCTAATTCTTTAATAATATTGCAGTTCTCATTCTATAGGTCCTTTACCTCAATTAGGTCAATTTCCAGTTATTTAATTCTTTTTGAAGCAATTATAGCTATTTTCTTGATTTCTTTGCTGCTGATTTTTTTTTTTTTTTGTATGTAAAAACAGTTACGGATTTTGTATGTTGATTTTGTAACTGGCCACTTTGCTATAGTCATTTTTTGTTTCTAATAACTATTTGGTGGAGTCTTTAGGATTTTCGATCTTGTGTGAATATTGATAGTTTCACTTCTTTTCACACCTGGATTCCCTTTATTTCCTGTTTTTTTTCCTAATAGGTCTGGGCTTTTTCCCCTATTATGTAGAAACTTTCTGGTCATTCCTTTCATTCTGCTAACGTTTTAGTCAAGTTACTTTAGCTAGTATCTCTCATTCTGATGGATAGTTTTGTTCAGTTTTTTCAATTCTCTTCCAATGTGAAGGCATTCTGATATCTGAAGTTCTGATAGCTGACAGTTCTAAGTGCTTAGAAAATAGTGGCTTTCAGTCACAATGATTTTACCATCCTCTGAATCATCTACAATGAATTAATTCCTAATGACAAATAAGATTTTTAAACTTGATATTCTGCCTCCTAATTATTTAATTTCTAGTTATATTAGGACATGTTTACAAACATTAGATTATTTTAGCTATGCTAAATCCATCCTGATCTTTTAAAGTTCTAAATTTATCTTGCTGTCTTTTCTGAACTACGAACCTTTCTCTTCACATGATGTGAATTTTTCTTTCCAATGTAAGATGTAATGCTGTGTGTACACTGTTATGTCAAGGCTTTTAATATTAGAAATCCAAATGGTTCTTCCTGTTAGAATTATCTTGACCAAATACCAAAGTTAAAAAAAAAATTACAGAGTATCTCTTAGCTATTTTTAAGAGAGGCAATAGGAACTTTATCTTACTTTTAGTAAGCCTCATCTTTCTACAGACACAACATTCCTGGCTGGTTATAATTTTTCTACTTTTTTTTTTTTTTAAATGTTTCAGGACACAGTGGAACCAGAGATCATTAAGGAAAGATTATTTTATTGCTTATAATTTGGGATTATCTCTAGAATACCAGTTCTATTTTCAGGACCAAAATGATTTAATATAAACTGAGCAGAGATAAGATTTTTTTTTTTTTTTTTTTTTTATAAATTTTATTGTTATATTCCCCATACAATTGCCGCCCCCCATTCTGACCCCAATCCCTCCCCTCCCGCCCCCGCCCCCCTAAAAGTGTCTCTGGTTCATAGTTTTTTGTTGATTTTGATTTTCACTTTCTTATAGTTTTTCATTTTCCTGGTCCATTATTTAAGTTTTCTAGATTCCTGCTATGAGTGAGACCATCCGGTATTTTTCTTTTTCTTTTTGGCTTATTTCGCTGAGCATGATCCCTTCCAGCGCCATCCATGTTGCAGCAAATTGCATGTGTTTATCTTTTTTGAATGCTGAGTAATATTCCATGGTATATATGTACCACATCTTCTTGATCCAGTCATCTATTTTTGGGCATTTGGGTTGTTTCCAAAGCTTAGCTATTGTAAACAGTGCTGATATAAACATAGGGGTGCAGGTGTTCTTTGGAATTGATGTTTCTGTGTCCTTTGGGTAAATACCTAGGAGTGGAATTGCTGGGTCATATGGAAGCTCTATGTTTAGTAGGTCCAGAAATCTCCACACAGCTTTCCACAGTGGTTGGACCAGTTTGCACTCCCACCAACAGTGCAGAAGAGTTCCTTTTTCTCCACACCCTCGCCAACATTTGTTGTTGCTAGTTTTTTTAATATGTGCCATTCTCACTGGTGTAAGATGGTATCTCATGGTAGTTTTGATTTGCATTTCCCTGATGACAAGTGATGTTGAACATTTTTTCATATGCCTGTTGGCCATTTGCATTTCCTCTTCAGAGAAGTTTCTTTTAAGCTCTTCTGCCCATTTTTTGACTGGATTATTTTCTTTGTTGTTGTTGAGTCTCATCAGCTCTGTGCAGATTTTTGTGATCAGTCCTTTATCATTAGTGTTGGGTGCAAAAATGTTCTCCCAGTTGGTGGGGTTAGAGATAAGATTTTTTCCTTCCTAATTTTTGGGCTAAGAGCATCAGTATACAATCAGTCTATCCTGGAGACAAAATAGTTCATGGAAAAGAGGGAAAAAAAATTCTTAAGTAGAGGCAGTAACATAGAGACTAGAAATAATAAAAGCTTTTTCTGAACTGAAACCAGCCCACAGATGAAAGTTTGCCTAGGGATCTCTCTGTAGGATGTAAAGAAGGCCATGAAAGTGAGATATTAAGGAATCTTACTATGTGTGCTCTTGGTTTTTATGCTGTCTGTGCTGTTTTCAGGATATGTGTTGCTCCAGATCTTGCCAACATTATGCTCAAATGTTGTGGAAAAATAATTTAGAATTTTTTGAAATGTGACATTTGCCATTTACTAAAAAAAGGCATGCAGGAAAAATTGAGGAGCTATTTAGAGATTCAGTGAAACAAAAGTTGGGCATTTTCCAGATTTTGTTCTATTATTGATTTTTAATTTTATTCCATTATGGTCAGAGAAAATACTTTTATGACTGTAATATCTTTGAAATTAATGGAACTTGCTTTATGGTCTAAATATGGTAACCTGGTAAATGTTCTTTATGTGTTTGAAAGAATATGTGTTAATTGTAGTTAGGTCAAGTGGGTTGAAACTGTGTTCAAGTTTTCTTGTTATGTCCTACAAGTTTCTTTCAATCATTGTGGGAGGTTATTTAATTATAAATGTGGGCTTGTCTACTTCTGTTTTCCAAAGGTGGAAATTTTGGACCTATTTATAGTAACATGTTTAATTTCCAGGCAATTTTTAAAATTTGTATTTAACTTTAAATTCTAATATTGAGAGAAATTAATTGATAATAGGGACTTGGCATTTGTTTTCATTGAAACTGTATGCTGCCATTTAGCTCCACTAAGCTAAATATGTATTAACTTTAGTTGATTGTACTTTTTTCAGTATGAACTTGAAGGTATAGGATTTATGAAGAATAATAAAACTGCTTTAACATCCTGCAAAAGGGCTTTAGAAATTGAACTACTTGGACTTGAGAGTTGTAGGCATACTTAATCTACTCACCTATTCACCCACCCAAACCAACATTTATCAGGATCTACTTGTGCTAGGCACTGCATGCTGAGATTATAAAGATGACTTACCATCGTCTGTGTAGACTTCTGAGTAATCAAGAAATGTTCATTCATTTTAAACACTTAGTGATTTGCAAATTATTGGGTACTGATTGTAGTTTTTATATAGGAATTAGTGATGATCATTTTGGAAAAGTCTTCAAAATAGGTGGATGGCAGCAATTTTAAAAAAAGTCTTTGATAGGTGGATGGCAGCAATTAAAAAAAATTGTATTTCAACAAAAAAGTTTAGCTATATATATATATTTTAAAGATTTATTTATTTATTTATTTATTTATTTATTTATTTATACAAGCATTGGGTACAGTCAGAAGCGCGGGAGGGTGAGGGAATTCACCAGAGCCAGAGCGGGGAACAGAACAGACACTGATGAAATACACTGCTGAGGGGAGCAGCAGGCGGCAGGAGAGGTCTGCACGCCATGTGGGACCCTCGCCCGGCAGCCGGGGATTGAACCAGCACTGCAGAGGCTGCGGGCAGCTTTGCAACCCAGTGCTCAACCACTGTGCCACTGGGGAGGCCCTAGCTATATATTTTAAGAATTTTATGTTCTTACTCTGTAGCTTGTTTTGTTTTTATAATTTGAGTTTAAATACTCATAACAACAAACATATTAGTTTTCAGAACTAGCTCATATGATTTATGTGCATTTTTACATATTGACATATCAGGATATTTTTATTTGCAAATCTTATTTCAGAGAGCTGTAATATCTATCCTGAGCCAAATGAAGCAAAATGATATTTTTATTTGACCCCCTAATAAAAGAGTTGACTATACTTGAAATATAAGATGTCGTTGTTAACAACAGTATTAATGCTAATACTTTATATTAGTGCTAGAGCATATAAAGCATTTCAACATTCATTCTCATTTGATGTTCTTAACAGTGATTAGGCAGAATAAGCTTTATCTTCATTTAAGTAGAAAATAGATTAGAAAGATTATAACATACTCCCTATCTTAGGCACAGCATGGGAATATAATACTATCATTGACATTTCTTTATATATATTTATAGTATCATTTATACTTTTATTTTGTAGATGAAAATAAACTGTTACCTGCAAGATCAGGATGTACAATAGAAGATCATGTAATTGCGGGAAATGTAGATGAATTTCGTAAAGATTTTATTTCAAGAATATGGCTGACTTACAGGGAAGAATTTCCTCAGATAGAAGGCTCTGCTTTGACAACAGACTGTGGTTGGGGCTGTACATTAAGAACTGGACAGATGCTGTTGGCTCAAGGACTCATACTACATTTTCTTGGTAGAGGTAAATCAAGTCTCTCTCTTTAAAAATTTGTTGTCTAACTTGCAAACTGTATAGAATTCCCCTGGATTAATTTCTTAACTTCCTGATGTCTTTTAAAGTTGTAACTAATCTAGTATATCTTTACTGAATGAGCCAGGTATCATATTTAAATTTTGATTATTCCTCTTTCAAAAATAAATGCTAAAAGTACCTATTTTTCTTGGCTACCACCATAAATGAGTTCAATTTTTAGTAGTCTTTGGTTTTTTGTTGTTTATTATTTCTTTCCTTTTGATTGAATACTTAAATTTTCAGTACCATTGAGCAGGCAAATATACTTTGAGCAGATAATATCTTTACATTATTTAAATCTTAAGATTTTTACACTGGATTCTTAATTTTTTTGCTCTATATACCAATAATGCTTTAGAACTTTTGTTTTTAATAATATGATTAGGTGTTTTCTTAACAAGGTCTTCATGATTAGTCTTTTAAACTCTCAAAATTATCATTGTTACTGTCTTACATGTATCAGTTTTTTCCTGATGTGTCCCCCATTACTATTATGATGTGTACATTTGTAGGATAATTTTAGTTTACCATTTTAGGATAATATACCTAGTCATTAGCATATTTTTGAGGTGTTGGAAAATTTCTCTGCAATGCTTGGCAAATATTTAGTAACCTTTTCATAAGGATTATTGATGAGTTTTTGAGACAGTTTACTCGAGTGGTGTGGATAATGCAAGGAAAAGAATTTTAGACATTTTCTGAGATGATTTATTTGTTTTCTGAGGTTTATTTATTTATGCAATTATAGGCAAGAATTGGAATATTTTTCATAGTCCTGACGAGATCTCTGAAACTGTGACTCATTTTGTTAAAATTGTATGTTTGGGGACTGTCTTGTTATATAAAACATTGAAGTAGTGAATATATTTGATTTTCTTGGGATCTTTGATTTTTATTGACTTCATTTATTAACTTGTCATTTACTAAAGAATTAGTATTATTCCCTAAACAATGATTACGTTATTCTGAAAGGAGTATACTAGAAAAAAACATTGTGAAAAGAAATTTAAAACTTTCATGGTCAGGCTTCTATTTTAACACATAACCAGTCTACTTTCTGAAGTTATTCTCTCATGAATACTGTGAATGTTAGTGAATATGTTTATTGTGCCTTTGGGTAGGCAAGACTGAATGTCTGATAAGCAGTACTAGTAATGGACTACAAAAGTTTTTATTCCATCTCAGAAAATGTCAAATAAAAGAAAGAAAACTGCAGTCCAGAATTTTTCATTTGTACCTGAATTTGCTATTTTTTTCTCTTTCATTTTGATATTTTTTTCATGATAATATGTAATACATTCTCATTGGAAATTTTGGGAACTACAGAAAAGTGCAGAGAAAAATATTACCACTCAAAATAAACATCAATAATATATTGACAAATTTTCTCTGCTTGTACCTTTGTTTTTTAAAAGCAGTTTTATTGGAATATAATCTACATACCATAAATTTATGCATTTAAAGAACTGATTCAGTGGTTTTTAGCGTATATTAACAGAGTTCTGCAACCATTATCAGAATCTAATTTTAGGACATTTCATCAGTCCTACATTAAACCTCATACCCATTTAGTAGTCACTCCCAATTACTGTATCTCCCCAATAGACAACCATTAATCTGTTTTCTGTCTCTGTAAATTTGCCTATTGTTGAGTTTACTATTTTAGTTTAGTAACCCGCATGGCTTTAAATGTACTTATTTTAGTAGTATTGTGAAAGTCTAACTATTTAAAAGATCTGAACACCTTGCTTTGGAACTACTATAGCTTGGACCTGGCCTGATGCTTTGAACATTGAAAATTCAGACTCTGATTCATGGACTTCCCACACTGTAAAAAAATTTACTGCATCATTTGAAGCATCGCTTTCAGGGGAAAGAGAACTCAAAACCCCCAAAGTTTCTCTGAAGGAAACACTTGGGAGATATTCTGATGATCATGAAATGCGAAATGAAATTTATCATAGAAAAATCATCTCTTGGTTTGGTGACTCCCCCTTGGCTGTCTTTGGCTTACATCAACTAATAGAATATGGGAAGAAATCTGGGAAAAAAGCTGGAGATTGGTATGGACCAGCTGTGGTTGCTCACATTTTAAGGTAAAATTGTTTTATAATTTTTCATCTTAGCACAGAGTTCCTCAAGTTCAGAGACAATGATTTTGGGGGTCGAACTTAGTGGTAGAGCATTTGACTGCAGGGGATTTTTACAGTGCACATCTATCATTAGAAATTTTATTTATTTATTTATTTATTTATTTATTAATAGAGGCATGTTTTATTTATTTGTTTGTTTGTTTGTTTTTGTTTATACATGTACTGGGTACAGTCAGAAGCGCGGGAGGGTGAGAGAATTCACCAGAGCCAGAGCGGGGAGCAGAGCAGGCAGAAGGACCGAAGTACACTGCTGAGGGGAGCAGCGGGCGGCAGGAGAGGTCTGCGCGCCATGTGGGACCCTCCTCCGGTGGCCGGGGAGCAGCCGGGGATCGAACCGGCGCTGCAGAAGCCGTGGGCAGCTTCGCAACCCAACGCTCAACCGCTGCGCCACCGGGGAGGCCCTATCATTAGAAATTTTAAAGTCTAACTGAATAAAAATGTACATAAAGGAGCTTTCACTTACTAATAGTGAGAAAATAATACATGTTGTGACTAGTTATATTTTATCTACTGACAATTTTTTTTCTCTTGCTCATGGATACAGATGTCCAAGTTCTCTTTCTAACCAAGTTTTCCTCAGACTACATATTTGAAATATTCTAAAAACTAACAAATCTTTCAATCTTGGAATATGCACAACATTGTAGGTTTTTTTTTAAATAGTATAACCTGGGGACTTTAATGTATTGAGAGTATAATGAAATGTTGGTATTTTCAGAATTTCTTTGCACACATCAAATTTTTATGTATTGTAAATATGGGATTACTCATTTTATAATTATATTGAAATAAAAGTCAAAGGTCTATGCCACTCAGAATAGTTAGAAAAAAGTCAAAAGTTAAATTTTACTATATCTCAGATTTTATATGTGATTTATTTGGATACTACTAAGTTTTAAAAAAAATTGTCTTGTTATTATAATCAGAATCATTAATATGTTATTGAGGTATAATATTATAAAGTCGTTCCACTTAAAATCAAACATGAATTTGAAATTATTGCAGTCTTTTGCATATTAACATGCCTTTATATTTTATTGACCACATGCTTCCAACTGAAAAAGTATTTTCCTAAAGTTATTAAATGAACTGTTAATATCAAGTTCAGCTTGATATGACATTTGTAAAAATATAATCATAAAACATAGTTTCTACTCTTTAAGATCTCTTCTATAACCTAGGAATCAAACATCTTTTTCTGTAAAAGGCCTGATAGTAAATGCCTTAGGCTTTGTGGACCTTTTATGGGTTTTATTGCCCATTTTTCTTTTGTTTGCTTGCAAAACTTTTAAAGCTGTAAAAACCATCTTAATTTGTAGATTACACAAAAGCAGGCTACAGGTCATATTTGGGTGATAGTTTGTCAATCCTTCTTCTATATTAACAGATACAAATATGCATAATAAATCATGCTAAAAAAGTATAAAGATATAGGTAAATAAGAATATATTTCCCCAATTTGTATATTTTTAAAACCAACATTATTGTGATTTTTTAATATCATGTGCATCATTGAGATTATACTCTTGTTATATTCACTTAAAATATTTTTAAATCCATAGTTTAACTGATAGAATTCTAGGGCTTGAAATTTGGAAATATACTTATTCAGGTAATGTGGGTTTTTGAGTGAAGGGAAAAAAGTCATGCTATTGTTGAAAGAAAAGAAAAAAAACTTCAAATGTTCCAGAGAACAAAAATACAGAATTCAATGCTAATTAGTAATTTAAGTTAATGTGGAACAAACCTTGAAACATATGTTATACCACTTATAAGAATATGTTAAATAAAGCCAAGTAAGTGGTTGAGAGAAGTCCTTTTTGGAGGGTGGGGTTTACAGCTTTATGCCCAAGAACTTCTGTACATATTTGTATTTGATGTTTTAATGTTCTTTGAGTAATTTAATGTTAGTATTCAACTTTGAAAAAATTGACCTGGTTTCTTTCCTTTTTTTTTTTTCTTTTCTACTCTGCAGTGTTTATTGAATCACTATTTCTTTACTTTTTCTTCTTTTTTTAAAAATTGAGATAACTTTGATTTACAGTACTATATGTGATTCAGAGATGCAGTGTCCCACTTCTTCAGATGCGTGTCACCACACCATACCCACCACAGGAGACACCCATAGTCCTCCACCATAGTCCATTTCTGACCTGATTTCTGATACCATTCAGATGATAGTTTTAAAAGCAGTGTGGGTTAAATAGAAAAGTCAGGAAAATGCCTTTCCCCTTAAATTAAATTAAATCTCTAATTACTAAAAGGAAATGCTAGGTAAGAATTTAAAAAATGATGCTTGTTACTTTCTAGAAAAGCTGTTGAAGAAGCAAGACACCCTGATTTACAAGGAATAACTATTTATGTTGCACAAGATTGTACAGGTAAGGAATATATATCATTTTAATTTTTTTCTGTTTATTTGGTCAGACTTTTCATATGTATTTAGCTTATCCCAATTATACTGGAATATAAAGTTTATCCCAAATATACCAATATTAATCACTTATGATTATGAAAGTAGGGACCATTTTTATTTCTACATAGTACTCTATAAATAGTAGAATCTTATTAAATGTTCCTTGACATACTATAAATTATTAACTGCAATGTTAAAATAAATTTTAAAGAAAATCCCAATATTTCAAATGAGTTCTTTGAAACAGATAGATGAGAAAATTTAAAACAGGTAAATATACTTGGGCTGATATGATTCAGATACCATATCTTATTGGTGGATAATGTGTCAAGGAAGGAAAATTCTCAGTTTGAGTGATTTTCTCTCTAGTCCCTTCAGCCAACCATCTGATAACAACGTAGCCATTGTCCATAACTTTACCTTCTTTTATTGTTTTGGTTTTTCTGTTTAATGACCAGTGTCAATAATAATTTTGAAATTCTGTTGGGGATAGGCCTTGGTTTCCTAATAAAATAAAATAAAATAAAAGTCCCTCTAAAATAAATCACCTTACGCTGTTAGTATTTTTTATAGAAATGCTATTAATAGAATAAAATATATTAATGTCTTGAGGAAGTTAAATAGATCTCAGTCATATTTGTTATAAGAGACTTTACAAAATGCTTAAGGGTACCCTGTTAACTGACTTGTGTTTGTAGTGTGGAAAGAATGGCTACTAAAGTATACATGCATTTTCTCTGGCTTTTTGTTAAGGTTAGTTAGTTTTTAAAGAAAGATTGATCGCCACTATTCTAGCCATATGAAAATAAAAGCTGTAAATTTTCAAATGACTTATATGAATTTTTCAGGAACTTTTTTTTTTTCACATAGGAATTCTTGCAAATAAAATTTGCTTTATTAACAGTTATAATTAAGCTAAAGAATGTGCTTAAATAAATTTATGAATTTGCCTTTGTGCTTTTATTGATAGCAGTTAGCCTTGGTCTTTAAGTGTAATGAAAGTTCCTCATTATATATAAGTGGTTTGTGTAATTTGAAGTAGTTCTTAAAATTTTTAACATTGATGTTTTAAGAGTCCTTACGGGGGAGTTTATGTTAGTGTCCTGTGTTTTGACAGATTGTGCAGTTAGAAATTAGGTGAAGCAAGAGTCTATCAATAATTTTTTCCTTTCTATTTTCATTAGTGTTTTTAAAGTTTCTGTTCTCCTTATGCTGAAAGTATTCACTTTCTCCTCCCATTCTTTATTCTTTCCCTTTGTAATTGCATCCCTTTCCATTGCTGTAAGTAGTTAGAACTGTGCACTCACTATAAACTAGGACTTTAAAAACATTTCTAGTGTTACTTGTGTCAATATAGATAACTTGTATTATCTGCTGCCCTTCAAGTATCTCCTCCTAGATTTTCTACAGACACTTCAAATTCAGCATGTTTAAAGTAAATTACCATTTCCCTCTGCCCCACTCTTATTTGCTTTGTTTCCTCTCCACTTAGCGTTATCATGTCCATAAGCATACACTCACTCATTCTTTTTTTTTTTATAATAAATTTTATTTTTATATTCCCCATACAATTGCAACCCCCCCATTCTGACCCCAATCCCTCCCCTCCCGCCCCCCACCCCCCAAAGAGTGTCTCTGGTTCATAGTTTTTTGTTGATTTTGATTTTTACTTTCTTATAGTTATTCATTTTCCTGGTCCCTTATTTAAGTTTTCTAGATTCCTGCTATGAGTGAGACCATCCGGTATTTTTCTTTTTCTTTTTGGCTTATTTCACTGAGCATGATCCCTTCCAGTGCCATCCATGTTGCTGCAAATTGCATGTGTTTATCTTTTTTGAATGCTGAGTAATATTGCATGGTATATATGTACCACATCTTCTTGATCCAGTCATCTATTTTTGGGCATTTGGGCTGTTTCCAAAGCTTAGCTATTGTAAACAGTGCTGCTATAAACATAGGTGTGCAGGTGCTCTTTGGAATTGATGTTTCTGTGTCCTTTGGGTAAATACCTAGGACACTCACTCATTCTTGACTCTTTTCTCATCATTTATATCTGACCAGCCAAAGCTTACCAAGTATACTTAAAAATGCTTGTGAAATGATAGGTTAAGCCTGTGGATTCCAGAATCAGATTGCCAGGGTTTAATTCTAGCTGCACCCTTATTGGACGTGTTATTTGATTTCTCTATGCTTCAGTTTTTTCATTTGCTTAATGGGGATATTTACAGTTCCTACCTCATAGGGCTGTGAGGCTTAAAGTAGGTAATTAGCTCAGGCCACATAATAAGTACTCATTAAGTGTTCAGTATTATTATTTTGGATCCTGCTTTATTCTGTGCTCTATCACTGAAATAAGCTCATTTGAGTTTTTCTTCCAGTTACTACTGCCTCCAGAAAAGTAGACATGCACTCTTTGAGGGAAAAAAGAGGTTATTGGAGGTCTTTAGAGCTGGGAGCTCAGTATTAATGCAGACATTCAGCACCTCCTCCCAGACCTACTGAATCAGAATCTGCATTACTCTAACGCCCCAGATGATCCCTATTCACATTACACTTGGAGAATTATCAATCCATACCATATTGCCTCCTAAAGGATATTACCCATCACTATTAAATGTTTACAATATGCATGCATGGAACTAAGCATTATGCCTATTATGCATTTAATCCACATAAAAACCCTAAAAGAGAACTCCTACAAGAATAATGGACAGGTGAATGTCAATGTCCTACTGGTGATACTACCCTATAGTTTTGCAAGATGTCACCACTAGGGGAAAGGCTCTCTGTAATATCTTTTACAATTATGTGTGAATCTACAGTTATATCAAAATAAAAAGGATAATTTTCAAAATCCAAAAAAAAAAAAAATGCTTGTGAAATCCATTCTCTTTTCTAGATTGTCATTAGACTCAGAGCAGACTCTTTTCTCTAATTTGGGCTTTAACTTGATTTCCCCGTCTTTTCAGCTTGACCCGACCTACATTTCCAGCATCACCTCCCAGTGCTCTCTCCCATGGTAATATACGAAAGTACTATCAACCTTCAGGCCATTCCTTGGACATATTGATAATATTATATTCTTTCATTCCATGCCTTTGAACATACTATTGTCTCTTCTTAGAATGCCCCTTATTATTCCAGTCTCTCTTGTTAACTATTACTCATTCTTTAAGAACACACTCCAAGTTTACTCCTTTGGTGAAGCCTTTCCCAATTCCCATCAGGCAAAATTTCTTTATTTTCCTCACTTTCATGGTTGTTCTGTAACATTTTGGAGTTACCTATTAAATATTACATTTGTAATTCAGTTGCAATACCACTGTGGAGCAGGGATAGGGGAAACGTATCCAAATTATTTGGTTGGGGTCATTGTTATAGTGAGCCTCTGTTTTAGAATTGAAATGTTTCATCACCCTTACCTATGTTGGAAGTTGAGGAAAAACACGAAAATGACTGTACTTTGAAATTAGCATCTTATTTGCTTTTATACCCCCCCCCATCATGGTGGAAAACCTCAGTAAATAGCAGCCCCTCCATACATGTGTGTTTAGTGAAGATAAGACTTTTGACAAAGGAGAAATTGTATATGACAGTGGTATTATTTTGTCTTATGGCAGTATTTATTTGAGTGAGGTGACATCTGTGAAAGGAAAACTCATGTGATTGGAGGGCATTCTAGTTCAGAAAGTTAAAGATGCTGAACTTTGAAAAGTGAGGAAATTTAAAGGTTTATAATTAGAAGTCATTTTTGAGGCATTTACAGAAAGTGAGATGATAAAATTGAAATGTGGAAAAAACCATTATGACATTTTTGTAGCTTTGGTTTAGACTGACTATAGGAGATGGGGAAGCTGATAAGCAGAATTTAATAGCCTATAATCTAAATTTGGAATTTAAAGAGAAAAATTAGGGTACAAATGGCAGAATTTGTTAATCAGCCAACTGTGGAAGAACAGAAGTGTTTCGTTAAACTGACAGGGAGTGTGGGTGTAAAGTAAGTTTTGAATAAACTATTTTGTTGAACAAAACAAAGTTTTCAATATAATTTGCTTCCACCAAATCTTCCTGTTTGTTTTGAATATTCCATGTAGATTCTTATACCCTCTTTTCCACAGCTCTTATGAAGAATTAAATCTTGCTTAATCTTCTCAGTCCTCATATCACAGAATGTATCAGCAGCATCTGACAATTGACCACTTCCTCCATTTTGTAACACTTGGTTTACTCGGCGTCTAGAACGCTATTAACCGATTTCCATTCCACCTTCTTATTCACTCCTTCACTGTCTCCTTTACTGCCTTTTCCTTAACTTGCTGAACCCTAAAATTGTTGCTGTGTTTTTTTTTTTTTTAGGCTTTTTTTTTTCTGTGCACACAGATTTGAATTCATCTGGTCTCTTGGCTTTACAGAACCATCTGTATACTGTCAACTCCCAAATGTATACGTCCATCCGGAACCTCTCCCCAAATCCAGGCTTTTTGGTTCATATTTGCCTACCTATCCTCCCTACTTGCTTGTCTCATAGTTGTCTCAAACTTAGCATGTCTAAAATTGAATTCTCAATCCTCCTTTCTATATTTCCCCTCCAGAAGTCTTCTAGGTCTTTGTAAATTGCATCTCTTACTCTGTTTGTTTATACCAAAACCTTTCATATCGCCATGACTCCCCTTTTTCTCTCACATCTTATGTTTACTATACTAGGGAGTTATCTTCAGACTGATCAATTTTCACCACCCCCACATGACCTCATATCAGTCCTGACATTCTCTGCCTTCACAATTACTGCCTTTGTTCAAGCTACTATCATCTTTCGCTGGATTCCTACAATGGCCTTCTAATTGTTTTCTCTTTTGGTTTTCCCCACCTCATCTATCATCAACACAGGAACCAGACTGGTAAATTGTGAATCAGCCATGCCTTTCCTTAAAGAAACTCTTCAGTGGCTTCCTAACTCGCTCAAAGTAAAAATTGGAGTCTTGACAATGGCCTATAAGAATTCACATGATCTGTCTTGGTTATCCCTCAATTTATAACTTTTATTTCCTAACTTCATTTCCTGCTCCTATAGACCTTGCCCACTTCCTTCCAGAGGCACTAGCTTCTTGCTCCTGAAACATGGTACCTATGCGTCTACCTGAAGGTGTTTGCATTTGCTGATCTTTCTACCTGGAATGATTTCCCCCCAGATATCTGGATTATTTGGTTCTTTCTTTCTTTTTTTTTTTTTTAGAGGCATGTTTTATTTATTTATTTGTTTGCTTGTTTATACATGCACTGGGTACAGTCAGAAGGGCGGGAGGGTGAGAGAATTCACCAGAGCGGGGAGCAGAGCAGGCAGAAGGACCGAAGGACACTGCTGAGGGGAGCAGCGGGCGGCAGGAGGGGTCTGCGCGCCATGTGGGGCCCTCCTCCAGTGGCTGGGGAGCAGCCGGGGATCGAACCAGCGCCGCAGAGGCCGCGGGCAGCCTCGCAACCCAGCGCTCAACCACTGTGCCACCGGGGAGGCCCTGGTTCTTTCTTTCTTAAGTCTTGACTCAAATGTTGGTTTCTCTTCTGACCTTCCTTGCCACCTTATTTTATGTTGCTTCCCTTTTCAACTTTATTTACTTATCTTTCTACCTTTGTTGTTCTTCAAAGCACCTATCATCTTATGTATCTTATATTTTACTTATTTATTATATGGTTCGCTGTATTACAGTATATGCTCTATGATTTTTTTCCATTTTGCTCACTGCTGATATGTCAATGCAATGTAGAAGCTGCTCATCAGGTATCTGTTGAATACATAAGTGAGGTAGGTAAGTATTTTTAACTAGTTAAGCCCTTGATAGTGAAGTGAGATCAGATGACTGACCAGTGCGAGGAGGGAGGAGTAAGGGTAAAAAAGTTTCTGAAAGTCATTTTTTGTAAACTTTAATACATATTCATTATGTTTTTCTCAGTTTACAGTTCTGATGTAATTGATAAGCAGTGCACTTCCGTGGCCTCTAATAATACAGATGACAAAGCGGTGATTATTCTAGTTCCAGTTAGACTTGGTGGAGAAAGAACCAACATCGACTACTTAGAGTTTGTAAAGGTATGAGATAAGGGCTCGATTTTTTAAAGGCGGTGTAACTAATATGAAAAATACAAAAGGTTTTCGGTCTTTTTTTGTTAATTGAGTAGTGATAGATGTAATTGTAGATTTTAAAGTTTGACTTTAGAGAGTTTAAATTTCAATATTACAAGATCAGTTGTGATTTGAAGAGTACAGTGTTCTGTGACAAACTGAACAGCCTTTTATCCTTTGTAGCTAATGAAGGAACCATGCCCAGAACAATAATTATAAACTGTCTGCAGTTCCATACTCTTACTTGGGACTTTAAAAAATATATACCTTTGCTTTTTTCATAAAATACACATTAAGCCTCTATTTGGTTAATTTTTGAAACAATCTGATTTTCTATTATTGCTGCATTTTCTCTTAAATCCTGTGCCACCATAAGGTCAATAAAAAGTTATAATGATTATTTATATAGTCAGAAATGATGACAACTTTGCTGTCTTCATATTTACAACTTAAAACCTGATCTGTTTCAGAACACATAATTCTTTTTACAGAAGAATCTAATTGCGTTTTCTTGTTCTGGCCATCAAAACAATTTGTCACAAAACTAACTTTTGAGCTATTTAGTTTATGACTGAGATTATAGTGTTTATATTATTTTCATAGGTTTAATAAAATTCCTCATTTTTTTCAAAATCAAAGATGGAATTCCTTTGAGTGGAGTGTTATGGCATATATTAAGCTTGAAATAAAGTCTAGATTTGTATTTTATTATTTAGTAATAATTTTTTCCTCACATGAAACATTATTCCCATACTGTGGTCGCTGTGTATGTAGATAGAACATACATACTCAGGCTAGACTGTGATGATCTAAAAATTTAGGGTAGCCGTTTTCAGTACATGGTATATAGAAGTCTTCTAGCTGCTTATTGGCTTTTCCTAATAATTACTAAAATTTTGGAGGCACACTTGTTACTACTATTAATAATGATATATCAATAATAAAAATTTCCTAGATAAAAATGGAGTTTTGATTTCTAATGTGAGTTCTTTAGTAGTAGTATTGGTGGGATGTGAAAAGTTGTGAACCATTTCATAATTTGAATTCATTGGGGTTTTGGGACTTCTGGCATGTTGTCATGTCTCCAGATTCTAAACAAATGTAAACCGAATTCCCTCTGCTTCTGTAGGAGCATGGGAAGATGTGAGACAATTTTAGAACTGATTCATTTAGGCAAGCTATCCTTCTGGTGGAATGGGCTGCAGATGGCTGTAGCCAATTTGGCTGAGGACTTTGCTGTTTGGTGGTATTGAAAAGTGTTTTTTAGATGGCAGGACTGCCTAATGTACTGGAGTGATTGGCTGGCACCTGTATTATAATGAATCATAGTTAGCTGTTAAGGTAATCCTCTGTACCAGCATTAGAAGTTACTCATCAAATTATTTGTTATGTCTTTTTTTTTTAAAGATTTATTTATTTATACATACATGAGCTGGGGTGCAGGCCAGAGATACGTGAGGGTGAGAGGATTCACCAGAGACAGAGTGGGGAACAGAACATGCAGACTGACTGAAATACACTGCTGAGGGGAGCAGCAGGCGAGACAGGAGAGGTCTGCTTCGCCATGTGGGTAGCTCCCTGGCCGGGGATCGAACCCATGCTGCAGAAGCTGCGGATTGCTTCATAGTGCAGTGCTTAACCCCTTGCACCACCAGGGAGGCTTCTATTGCTCATATTTGTGTAGCACTTTCAAATTTCACATTTGTCTCATTTTGTCCTCACAATAGTTCAGAAGTGGATTGTCTTTATAAAACAGAAAATACAGAAAGAAGTTAAGTCATTTGCTTGAGTTCAGATTACAACCTGGTTAGAGATTACAAACTTCCTATTTTTCCCTAAAATATGGACTTAAAAAAATAATATTTCCTTGAACTTCTAATTTAATTTACATTGTAGTCCACAAAAATGAGAGAGCAGTGACTATTGAGACATTATAATTTTTCAGTTATCAGATAAAAAATGGCTGAAATGGCTGAGTGAAGTAGGTTATATTCTAGGTGATAAGCTTGGTCAGAAGATAATTGGGGCAGTAGTCAAAATGAGAGCGTGTAAAGAGGCATTCACCTAGAAGTGTAAAACTAGTGTGTTTAATAGCCTTAAAAATCTTATGCCTCTCTCTGTTTCTTCTTCCTCTTCCATTTCCTCTTCCTCTTTTTCTTCACATCCATCTTCATCCTCCCCTCCCCCTCTCCTCTTTACCTTATCCCTCCCCCATTTCCTCCTTTTCCTTCAACAACTGTTGTATTTTATTTTTTCTTTCCAAACAGTTGTACATTATACACTTTAAATTCATCATTGACTTCTATTTTTCAAATGTTTTAATCAAGGGAGTTCCACGGTATTTCAGAGATGGCATCATCTCCTGCTACATCCTCTGAGGAGAAAGAACTTTGGTGTGGTGTTTTATCAGCCTTTACCACAGGAGGTTTACTCATTTATTTATTTTTTTAAAGGACCTGGAATGAGGAAAATCCTATATGTTCTTCTTCTTCAGCAAGACAAATTAGGACTTTCCTTTTGACTGATTACTTCAGTCTTATTTATTGCATCATGGATACAGCTCAATAAATTCTCACCACTAGATAACTGTGAAGAAAGCTTTTTAGAAATTGAAAAGTGTTTCAAGTTTCTCAAGATACAGGTTCTTATATGTGGTGGCATTCGCTTCTAAGTGATTATTACTAAATCTGCTCTAGTCTGTTACAAAGGAAATACAGATGTCAAGAACCAAATTCTTCTATTTCTTGGAATCATTCTTTTTCTAAAGATACTCAGTCATGATTCTTGCTATATATATTTCTTTTTTCCAACTATGTGGGACTTAGAATTTTCACTTCCTCATAAGTCCCTATGTTACAGACATTGTGTTTCAGTTGATCAGATTGCCTCAGATTAAAAGAAGGCAATCTAATTGTGTTACAGATTTTTATTTAGAATGAAAACAATAGAATCCTTAATGATAAATAACTTATCAGGGTTTTTTGGTGTAACTTCATCTTAATTTATTATTGAGTAAACTCTAAAAATTTAATCTAATCTGCCTTTTCTGTTGTTTACTTCTTTTAGTTGCAGTTCTCCTTACCAAAAAAAACTGATACTTTCACAAGCCTAAAAATATACAAGGTTATTCTTTTTTTTTTAAATTGAGGTCACACTGTTTTACAACACTGTATGTGATTTTGGGATAGGGTCACACCTCCTGACATATATGTCACCGCACTACCACATCTGCCACGAAGGTATTTGTACTCCTTTACCATAGACCATTGGGCCCCCTCCTTCCTTTGTCCCTACTCTAGTAGCTTCAGTTAGGCAGATATTTGGCTAGGGTTTGTTTTAGTTTAGTTTTGTGAATTCCTTTGTTTCTGTATATTATACATATAAGTGAAACTGTTTGGTATTTTTCTAACTTATTTATTATTATTTTCTGACTTATGTCACTTAGCACAGTCCCCTCCAGCTCCATCCATGTTGTAACAAATAGCAAAAGTTCATCTTTTTTTACAGCTGAGTAGAATTTCATTGTGTGTAGAGACCATAGTTTTCAAATCCACTGTTTGTCCATGGGCACTTAGGTTGTTTCTATAATGTGGCTATTTTAATAGTGCTGCAGTGAACAAAAGGAGTGCATGTGTTTTTTTTTAATTAGTGTTTTTGCATTCTTTGGGTAGATACCTAGGTGTGGAATTACTGAATCATACAGTAGCTCTAATATTCATATTTTGAGGAACTTCCATACTGTTCCATAGGGGATGGACCAGTCTACATTTCACCAGTTGTGTTTGAGGTTTCTTTTTTCCATACCCTCACCAATGTTTGTTTTTTCTGGTCTTTCTGATATGGGCCATTCTTATGGGAGTGAGTGGTATTTCATTGTGGTTTTGATTTGCATTTCCCTGATGATAAGTGATGTTGAACATTTTTTTCATGTATCTATTGGCCATCTGTATGTCTGGAGAAGTGTCTAGTTAGTTCATCTGCCAATTTTTTGATTGGGTTCTTTGTTTTCTTTTTGTTGAGTTGTAGAGTTTTTTATAGACCTTGGGTATAAGCCACTTGTTGGATAAGTGAGATGCAAAAATTTCTCCCATTCAGTAAGGTGTCTTTTTGTTTTAATGATAGTTTCTTTTGCTGTACGGAAGCATTTTAGTTTGATGTAGTTCCCATTTTTTATATTGAAGTTGCATTGTTTTACAACATTGCATATGATTTAGAGATAAAGGATTAACCCTTTCAAGCTTATTACCATACCACATTTGTTTATTTTTGCATTTGTTTTCCTTGCTATTGCAGTAGAATACCCAAAGACATCACTGGACCCAATGGTGTAGAGTGTTTTGCCTATATTTTCCTCTGTGTATTTTATGGTTTCCAGTGTTGCGTCTAATTTTTAAGCTATTTTGAATTAATTTTTGTGTATGGTATGAGAAAGTGATCTAGTTTAATTTTTCTGCATGTCCCAGCACCATTTGTTGAAGAGATTTTCCTTTCTCCATGTATATTCTTGGTTCCTTTGTTAAAGGTTAACTGTCCATATAAATGAAGGTTTATTTGTGGACACTCAAGTCTATCTCATTGGTCTGTGTGTCAATTTTTATGCCAATACTATACTGTTTTGATTATTATAGCCTTGTAATATAGTTTGAAGTCTCAGTGCATGATGCCTCCATTCCTCTTCCTTTTGGTCAAGATTGCTTTGGCTACTCTGGGTCTTTTGTGGTTCCATCTAAAATTCAGTAATGTTTATTTTTTTGAAGACATTTCCATTGAAACTTTGATAGGGATTGTATTAAATCTACATATTGCTTTATTTAAGATGTATATTTTAACAACATTAATTCTTCTAACCCATGATACAAAATCTTCTTTAGAGGGTTGTTTGTAATAATGAGAATTTGGAAACAACTTAAATATCCATAATGGGGACTTTAAAACACATTTTATTATCTTCATAAAATAGGATATTTTATGTCCATTAAATATTATAATAAAGGTCTATATTTTTTTGATAGGAAAAGATGTTTATGATATGAGAGACAAAAGTTACAATGGCATACAATGTATGATGCCACATACCTAAAATTGTATTTGTAATCTAGTGAATATAAATAATATACAGAGATGTCAAGAAAAGTATTCCCCAGATATTAATAATGATGAATTGTGAGTTTTGGGAATTTTTTACTCTTTACAGTATTTTCTGAAAAACATTTTATTTTTGAGAAACTAAGTTTGAAAAAACTTAGTGAACGCTAAGTTTGATTTCATTAATTGCTAAGGAAGAAAAGTCTTTATTCATATAGTCTTTATTTTTATATCTTCTAGATTTCAAAACAGCCTATCATTTGAGAGAATAATTATTGTTTAGTACTTTTGTGGTTTTAAATGTCTTTATCCCTGTGTTTTCTAACATAATATATGCTAAAATTAATGCATAAACTATTGACAAGATACTGATTCCACTAGACAAGTTTTTACTTGACTGCACTGGACATTTTTTTAAAAGGTATAGGATTATTTGGTCCAACTTAAATAGAGTTCTGCTTAGAACAGATGTTGAGGTGTCTTTGATTTGAGGTGTCAACAGATGTTGAGGTGATTAGTAAAATTAGTTAGCCTTAAGTACAATAATAGTTATTTTCCTTGGATTAAATTGTTTTCATTATTTAGTGTAAATGAAGTATCATAAACAATTTGTCAAGTGATTTGCTGTTGATTAGAAAATGGTTTTTAGTTTTGGACTCTTAACACTCAAGTTTCACTGAGAAACAGTAACAAGGTCTAAGAACTACTTGCAGCTTTTAGCCTGATGAAAGTGTTACATTGATCTTGATAAGACTGTATCAGCTTATGAAAGGTCAAGTGTTTTGACTTTGGTAGGAATTTTATTGCCTTAAGATGGTAATGTGTTTATCTCTGTATCTAGCACGTAGTAATTGTTTAATGTTGTAATGACGTATGGATCAGAATATTTAATTTCATCATGTAAATGTTGAGTGATCATAGACAAAAGGATGTCAGAACATGGGAGCAAATGTAATGAAAATAAAACTGGTGCTAACGAACTTGGGAATTACTAATACTGGTAGTACAAAATTGGTTTGTTTTGAGTAATTACCATTTGTCTCATCTCTAAATCTGAATTAATTTTTTTTTTGGGCAGGGTATTTTAAGCCTTGAATATTGTGTGGGTATTATTGGTGGCAAACCTAAACAGTCATATTACTTTGCTGGATTTCAAGGTTAGTGATTTAGTAAAATATATTTTTTCATTGTTTTCTTTTAAAAGTCAGAAAGTTAATATGATATCATCTGGAAACAGGATGATTAACTGAGCGAAATGAGTACCTTATAAATTCATCTGTCCTACCATAGCCACTCATTTGTCATTTGGTCCACAACATAATTGGATTCTGTAAAATGTATGTTTAATTTCTGTTATTGCATAAACAAGGCATAATTTATTGGTTTCACTAAACTTCAGAAGACATTGCTGCCATATTCTGGCAGTTGCTATTTACATATTTACTTTTTACCAGTTTTAGTGGTGCTAGTTGATGATAAAATGACAAGCAATATGTTCTTCCTGTCAGGACAAAGTAGTACAATACATTTTTCATGTGCAAACTGTAGAATATAATTGTGTGTTTGTGAAAGTAATTTTATCACCAAAAATTAAATGACAGTTTCATCACTTTATAAAAATTCTGCTTATACAAGCATATTTGATTATGCAAAAGTTAATCTGTCCTGTGCAAACCTTTGTTTCAGTCAATGAATATCAGTCTGGCAAGGTGTTACTCCCAGATTTTTTTCAGCTATTCTACATAGAAATTGGATTGTAAGCAGTGTAATAATAAGGTGTTTTTTGAATTACTTGTCTTCTGTTTTGTCCTTGTAGATGACAGTTTGATTTACATGGATCCTCATTACTGCCAATCTTTTGTAGATGTCAGCATAAAGGATTTCCCTCTTGAGGTACTATGGATAAAGAGCTGGTACTGTTTTTTTACTATATGAAGCAAACTCTTAATTATTCAGAGATGTGCTTAACAACTGTGCTTTTATGGTATTATAATTTCAAGTTAATAATCAATATTTTACTGATTTATAAAGCCATAGGCAACACAGTGGTCAAAGGCCAAATAATTAGCTTGGATTTTAATTTATAATACACTTTCTTCTTCATTTATCTTTGTCTCTAACTTGGTAGATTCTTTAACTCTACCAAAATAAATGATCAACACTCTAATAATTTTTGAAATATAGAGCTGAACAGTGCTGAAGAATTTTAATGTTGGGAATGTTTAAGAAAGAAGAAAGGCAGGGATAAAAGAAAAAGGTGATGGAATTGGATTAGAGTGACAAAGTGACTTATGGAGACTATGAGCTTTAAGTGTAGTGATTACATGTTAGCTTCTACTTATGTTTTCAAGAGCTTAGTTTTTTAAATGTTTGTTTTAACTTTGATTTCTCAACCTCTTCTTTTCCTTTATGTGGGTTATTTTGTGATCCAATATTTTAATTCAGAAAATTTTGACAGCGCATAAATGAGCCATATAATTATTATATGGTTTTGGATCTTGTTTTCCCAATTGATGCTTTTATAGATTTTTAAAATAATTTTAATCACTTGAGTGGCATGGATCACTAATTTTCAAGGGCTTGACAAATTGGATATGTGGTCTCGTTCTTAATTTTAGTTATAGCTTGTTAGCTAGTCTTTTTTTTTTTTAAGATTTATTTCTTTATACACAAGAACTGGGGTACAGGCCAGGGTTGCAGGGGGTGGGAGGATTTGCCAGGGACAGAATGGGCAACAGAATAGGCAGATTGACTGAAATACACTGCTGAGGGGAGCAGCAGGCGAGACAGGAGAGGTCTGCTGCGCCATGTGGGTTGCTCCCTAGCCAGCCTGGGATAGAAGTCACAGTGCAGAGACTGTAGCTTCACAGCGCTTGCGCTCAACCTGCTGCACCACCAGGGAGGCCCTGTTAGCTAGTCTTAATACCTAATGGTCTTTAAGAGGTAGATAATGAAAGTAGATGGACAAGTAGATTAAAGTCTGGTTTCAAAAGATGTTTTATAAAGAAATTATAAAACATTCTAGTATCCTTTATAAACCAGTACTTCAACTGAAGTAAAGACCGGAGGTCAGGTTTGTTTTCTACTTTTTCTTTCATAGTATCTTGCATATAAATCTTAATAAATATCTGCTAGTTGATAGATTGATATTGAGAGGCATTGTAGACTTGTGTTATGTGGACCATATTGCAATTCTCTTTCTGCTGCATTATGTTCTTAGGACACTGATTTCCTATGTCTGAGTTCCATTTTCAGTGTATTTGTGCCAAATCAACTGCCTAAAAAAGTAGATATTTGAAATTCAGAGGGAAAATTGTTTGTGTTTCTCTATTATCGAAAATAGACAAATTAGAAGACTATTGGTGATAATTATTTTAGTTAGTACAGAGACACTATTCATCTGAGATTTTGAGAGACTCTATAAAGATACCAGGTGATAAATATTCTGATTATGCCTATGCAATCAATATTACAAAGGTTGCAACTCATTATTGGGAGAGTGTTGCAACACTTCATGAGTGAGTCAATAAAAGCTTGAAGTAAGGTGATAGTGAGATGAAAAAGAAGAAATGGTTTTCAGAGAGTTTGTAAAATAGAATGTAGTGAAATTAGGTAACTTCTTAAGTTAAATGCACATAGTCATTTATTTTGTATACATTGGAACACCAAGAAAATACATTTATAGATGTCATATATTTGAGATGGTGTAGAGTTTTAATTTTTTTCTATGCAGGGTTTTACCCTAGAATATTTAGCCTATTTTTCCTATGAGAGTATAATATAGAAATTACTTCTGTGAGAATATAAAAATGTGTAAAATAATCTTTGTACAGAAATAAAATTACATTTTTATTTTCTGTCGTACTTTAAGTTTAAAATGCTCTAAGTGGACGTATTTTAACTACCCTCTATTATTAACCATAGGTTAATAATAGGTTGTGTGTATAGATTGTGTATTTATATGCAATCAGGATTTTGTAGCTGATTGATATAATGAATTATGTATACATGATAAAATCACCCTTATACCCTTATACCTCAATTATTAAAATAATCTTTGACAGTAACTTTTTTGATGAATGTTTCTTTTTGATCAATAGATGGAAAAATTAAAATCTTATTAGCTCTTTAATCCAATTCCATGTAAATATATTGCTGGCAATCCTGATATTTCAAGTAAGCATCCTGAATACTACAGAATTATGAAAATTTAAAAAAAGTAGTGTGCTATTAAAATATTTGAGATTAAAGGAGATATTTAGCAGATTATATAGCTTTTGTTGTTCTTTGTTGTTGTTGTTCTTATGGTGTTGAATTCCTATATTTCTTTTTTTTTTAAAAGATTTATTTATTTGTGCATACAAGAACTGGGGTACAGGCCAGAGTCACGGGGGGTGAGAGGATTCACCAGAGACAGAGTAGGGAACAGAACAGGCAGACTGCCTGAAATACACTGCTGAGGGGAGCAGCGGGTGAGACAGGATAGATCTGCTTCACCATGTGGGTTTCTCCCTGGCTGGCCCTGGATCAAACTCGTGCTGCAGAGGCTGCGGATTGCTTCATAGTGTGGTGCTTAACCCCTTGCACCACCAGGGAGGCCCAAATTCCTCTATTTCCAGAGTGGAACTTTTAAAATTTTAAATGTGTATCTATCTATCGCTCTATCTATCTATCTACATATACATATATATACATATATACATATACATATACATATATACATATACACACATGTATATACATTCATACATACATTTAATTAGTTAAGATTTCCTACACCAGACTATTGTTCCATGTTATTTATGGTATATTTTCAGAATGATTTGTACTAATTCTTAACAAATACCAAATTCTATTCTATTATTAAGGTAATATTCTTTTTCTTTAATATTCTACTAATAAATAAGAAAAACCTTAGTATACATTTTAGTCTGTTCTGATTCATGGGCCCTCCGTTCCAACTTTCAAGTTTCATATAGTCATGACTATTTTAATCTGTCCTAGTCAATTCAGAGAATAGTGGTATTAGAGCTATTAGAATGATTTGATATGAATAGATAAATGGATTAGTGAATTCATTAGTAGAAATGTACCCTCTATGAATATGTACCCTTGATGAATTACACATGTGAACTACAGTTCGTACGAAGTACTATTTACTAAGGTTATCTCTGTCTTTAGGAAACCATCTGTAAATCACCAAAATAGCATAATTTCACCTAAAAATATTTGTGTTAGTATTGTTTTGTTATGTTTAGGATAATAAAATTTATTCAAATATAAACCTAGAACTGTTCCTAGCATTAATAGGTACCTAATAAATAGTGGTTGAGATAAGAATGAATAATGTATTGAAAAAATGAAATTAAATGGGAATTGACTCACCCAGAAAATATTTTCACTGTTACAAAAGGGTATCTAGTGAACATTACCTGAAATGTGTTTGTGAAACAGAAGCTGCTACTCTTACTAATTGACAGAATTTTTAAAATTAAAAAAGAAACCATAAGTGTGTAATTCAAAGAGTGATGACAAAGTGGACAGAGCCAGTAACATTATGGAGAATATTTGTAAGTCTAACTTGTTCTGTAAGAAACAGAAATGATTCTGAGGTGTAAATGAAAATTGGTTTGATTTCAGAATATTCTTGGGTGAACAAAATGTAATTTTAAGTTTAAATGATGTGATATGCCTCTGTAAGATGAGTCATAGTACTCACGTCGTAACACCCAGTAGCAGTTTCCATTTTCGGTGATTAGAGATTTATATCTGTGTTTTTGTGAATGATTTTAAACTAGCTATCAAACATCCTTAATAGCAATTTAGTGTTTGTCATTATTATTTATGACAATTAAAGCAATACCATGAAGAAGCACTAAACCTATTCTGGTTTAGTCTTATTGGTTCTTATGAAATTTAAATTCATGCATTAGCATAATGAGCTAAAAAATACTTGGTTGGGTTTTGTATAAACTTTTGGCCATTTTTCTGTATCTCCAGCTAGTGAAAACTGAAAAACATTCCTTGTTGGTTTTGGAAGGATCAGCAAATAAATGCCTATCTTTAGATACTTTGTCTAGATTATTTTTTTTGTAAATATTACCTTCAGCTCTCTGTGGCTTTTATACCAACATACTTATTTATATATATTGTTAACTAATAAGTTTACTTAGTTCGTCTATGCCATTTCAGATGGCTTTTTAATATCTCTTTATAATTAAAACCGGTAAGACAATTTTAGAAAAAGTCCAAATAGAACTATACTTGTGTTGATTAGTATCTTGGAGGTTCCAGTTTAGTTAGGTTGGATCTTACTCTTTAAGTGCTAGCTAAACATTTTGTACAAGTTATAATTTTGAAGATAATTTTGCTTGGTTTATATCTACTGCTGTGATGTTGGATTTGAATTTAATATATGATTGAATTCTCTATAAGGAACAAAAAGCAGCTTGAATGTAAGCATTTTGTATATCTTGATAAAAATACGGGATACTAATTGGATCACTAGGTTGTATGGGGAGAGAAAAGGGTGATTTTGATTGATTCACCATGAACATCAAAAATATGAAAGCTTATGTTCTACATTTTAATACTTTTAAGTTAAAATTCCTTAGTTTTAGGCATTGAATGTTAGGAAAATTAAATTTTATGGGTTCAACTTCACCCCAGACTTTTCTTAATTGAGCTTGTTAATTCAAGAATATAAAATATATAACAAAGAATCTTGTACACACCTATCTCCCATCTGCCCTGTTTTCTCCTTTTCCCTTAAAGTTGTTAATTTGTGTATGTCCTTAGAGTTTATTTATGCAAAGATAATCAAGTATGAATATGTATTTTATGACTCTCCTTTAGAACATAAACTTTTTTATACATACAAAAACACATGGTAACATCAGTAATCTTAAAGCACGCAATATTGAGTGTTCAAGCAGTTAAAAAATATCTTTTAAATAAAGTACCAGAATGTGTTGAAAGGAGATTGGAGTGATTAGCTTTGTACTCTGCTCTTTTTTCTAATTTTGTACTTGCTAAAGATATCAAACTACTATTTTAAACCACATCCCATTAGCAAGGGTGGAGTGGCCTCCTTGCCCCCTTTTCAGCTATTCCAGCCCTTTATAAAAAGATCTGTGGCTCTGTGAGCACTTGAGAAAAGTGAACTAACGGGAAAGAAGGACTCCTAAGGAGAGTGGCAGGGGACCATACTAGAATAGTTTTACCTGAGTCTTGTATGGGTGCAAAGAACTTAAAGCAAGAAGAGTGAGTTGGAAGAATTTGCAATTCTGTGCTCATTATGTTAATTGCTAACCCTCTCCATTTGACCTCTTTTCTTGTCACTGTGCTACATTTACATGAATGTGTATTTGTTAAAAAGTCTTGATATGCTAATTGAAGGCTTATAAACATTAAAAAATCTCTAACAAAACAGAGTTAATTGCACTTTTAGAGAAATGGCTGATGATTATAAACCTGTGCTAGCTTATTCATTTCTTTTTGAGTAGGACATTTTTCTTCCTTTCAGCAAATGTTAGAAATGCATACCACATTGGACACACTTTCTTTTGCAGAATGGCACTAATGTCACATAAGGCAGAGACTTGGTGAATTGAATATGGACATTGTTGCCTCTCATGTTTTACAGCTTGGGAGAGTGGGATGGACCATCTGCATAGGATAAACTAAAACACCCCTTGAAAAGCATTTTTATAGTTTTGAAAATAAGTAGATAGCAGATTTAAAATTAAGTGATATTAATATGTGTATAAATCCATCATAAAACTAAATACTAAAGAGACTTTTATAATTACAGACATTCCACTGCCCTTCTCCTAAAAAGATGTCATTTCGAAAAATGGATCCTAGCTGTACAATAGGATTTTATTGCCGAAATGTTCAGGACTTCAAACGAGCTTCTGAAGAAATCACCAAGGTATACTTTTATTTATAATATAATTAATGGCATTTGTTAATCTAATTTTTATTAGAGATAGCCTATCATAAGAAAAAAATCTGAAAATTACATTTTTTATAAAATAGTCCTTGAGTGTTAATATTATTAGTAAAATTATGAATTAAAAAATAAAACTATTTGGGGATTCCTAGTCTTTGAGAGGAAATGAAAGCAACTAGTAACCAATGAAAGGTGTTAATTGCTCCACTAGGTGGCACTGTTGAAATAGAAATCCCTTTGCAAACTGCAGGCATGTGCAAGCAATTAGATTATATTTTATGTGAAGAGGATTTTAAAAGGGCAATACCTTAGGGGGTAGAAAAAAATTAATGAAGTATTTGATCAAGCCAAATTGTGCATTATTTCTTGTTAGTTCAAGTGCTTCTTTGATTTTTTTTAAAAAGAGAAATGGTATTTTTGGATTTCTCAGAACTGCTTTATCAAATGAGCTATATTGTTACCTTCCAATAAGCTTGTCTAATCTGATCTATTCTACTTATAGAATCTTTGAAATAGGTTTATTTAACTCTTTCTCATTATCTTTAAACTTCTGCATTTTCTGATCCTTGAGTACTGCCAAAGCATTTATAGAACCTTAAGGTCTGTCTATATTTAGTACTTTAGAAAATCAAAAAAGATTACTTAGGAAGTAAGCATAACTGGATGATCCTCTTTATTAGTTAGTATCAATAGTTAAGGTTATCATTTTATAGTAAGGCAAACCAATACTATAATCATTTTTGGAAATTTTTAGCTTGAGCTCAGATAGACTAGTACCTTATGACTGCTTTACTTTTAGTTAATTTTATTCAGGAAAATGGATGTAGTTGAAATTTCATTTTAACTATGTGAAAATAGAAAGAAAAAGTTAAATAAAAAGTTTCATATACGTTCAGTTTAGTTTACTTAACCTGCCATTTAAAAGAGGAAATTTAACAGGAACATGACAGAAAAATGAATGAGGAGAAGAGAAAATGAGATATGTGAGAACTCTTCCTTATTCTTCATTTCTCACAGTTGTCATTTTCTCGCTCTCCCTTTTCAACTGGGAAGCCAAGAGAACATAACTAAATATGTGTTCTCCATTTTCCTGCTCTCTTATTACTTGAAATTAGTATGTATACTTGTATATTTTAGTTTGGCAGTTCTGTCTTATGAAGTATCATGTGTATGTTAAAATATACAAATCCAGATGGTATTGTGTTATAGATTGATATTGATGAACATTTTCCATTAAAAATCCCATTTCTGTTTTTATCGCTTTTCTATTAGGTTGAATAAGTTTGTTAATACAGTAAGGTAATCTCCTTCTAGAGAGAAACAAATTATTACCAAACTGAAAAAATAAGATTTACAAATGAATTGTATGTTGATGTTTTCTGATTAAAACATAGTTTTTGTGTTTTTTATACTGATAGTTATTATGCTCTTTATACTGAAAAAATACTTAGAAATTGTTGCTTTTGATGCATCAGAGTAATACACAGCGTTAAAAAGAAACCATATTGAAATGTCATTGGTGGTACAGAGAATTTTTCCAGAGTCAATTAATTATGCTTTAATAATAGTGTTATTCTTAAGTTAATAGCTTTTTGTAGCAGTATCAAAAACTTAGTGTCAATTAATAATAACTTGATCATTTACTTTTGCCTGGAAGGTTGTAAGTAAAGGAGTCTTCCTTCTTAAATTGACTTTGGTATTTTTAGTTAAACTTATTTTTTGACAGCTTAATTTAAAAATAAAAAACAAGTTATTTGTTTCTCTATAGTACATATTTTCACTTTTCTCATTTTGAAAATAAATCTAGAGTCTCATGTTTCATTTGTAATACTGTGTGAATTAATATTCTAATGCCTTATGCTCTATGATTTTAAAATGTTAATAAAAATTCAGGGTGTTAATAAAATAATTCATTGTTTAGCAGAGCTCAGTCCAACAAGTTCTGATTAACTGTCATGCTGAAAGCCACAATTCCTACTTTTGAACAATGTATAAAGCTTCTGCCCTAAGTAACATTTATAGTCCAGGAGGGGAAATGAGACAAGTAGACATATATTACATTGAATATGATAAGCATCCATACAGAAATAGAAACAAATTGATAAGGGAAGGAATAGTCTTAAAATGAGAGAGATGTCACATCCAAGTCAAAGTTCTTTATTGTGATGGTGATATTTAATATGAGCCTTAAAGAGCAGTCTTAATTTCTATTGGCTTAGGGAGAAGAAATGGTTCTTCAAGTACAGGAAATAACAAAAGGAAAGATATTGGAAAAGGAAAATGTAGAGCTTGTCTAGAGAATGGCAAATAGTCCAATTTGTTAGGTGCCAAGGATATAACCTATCTATCGGGCAGGGTTTCTGACTGCCTGGATCAGAATCTCGAGGGGCACCGCTTGGGAGTCTCCATTCTAACAATTCTCCCAAGGACTTGTATACCAAATTTGAGAACCACTGTTGTAAGATAAAATGTGATACTTGATGTTTTTAGGTGGCACAAGGACAAATGTTTTAGTCCTGCCTTACTTATTCATATTCTTGTTCAAAAAATTTTAAATATTAATTCTGTTTATTATAGATTTGTATAAGGCTATTCAGGCTAAAAACAATGAAAGGGGAGATATTAATTAATCATAATCATAATCAAACAATGTAAAGGGAGAGATGGCATACATAGCAAATGTAATGAGGGAGGTATATAAATAGTCAAGGCTTAGGAAACACTACTAGAGGAAAGGGAATTGGAATAATTAAAGATTTCTTTGATACAAAGAAAAGGGAATTAGAATAATATTGTAGAGAGTCAAATACTAGGCTGAAGAACTTTGTACTTGAGCAATATGTTAATTTTATTAAGTTAGCTTTTGACTTCAAGCCTGCAGAAATGGATGTTATGATAAATATCCATGTGCTACAATGAGCTTAAGAAAAAAGAAATACATATAGTGGAAGTGTGCTCCCTTTCCCCTTCCTTCCCAGTGTAGGATAAACACTGACTATCCCTGGATAGGCAATCACTACCCTAAATTAATATATTTTATATATTCATAAACAACATATGTTGTTTTGCATGCTAAATTTTTCATTAATGACATATTTATATACAAATATATATATATCCTCTGCAACTTCCTTTTTTGTTCAGTTGTGGCTTAGAGATTATAAACACATTGATCTAACTTATTCATTTAAATTGCTCAACAATATGCTTGCTTTTAAATTTTCTTTTGTTAGTGGCCATCTGGGTTGTTTTATTTTCTAATTGCAAGTAATAAGAACATTCTACTTCATGTCTCTTTATGCACCTGTAACACTTTAGTTTACATAAGCTATACTAGATAGTTAGGGTGGAATTGTTGGGTCAGTTTACTAAATGTTATCAGATCTCTTCAAAGTGATCATACCAAGCAATGTATGAGAATTGCCAATGCTTTACAGTACATGATTTGTCAGACTTTTACATTTTTTTTTAAAGATTTATTTATTTATTTATTTATACAAGCACTGGGTACAGTCAGAAGTGCGGGAGGGTGAGAGAATTCACCAGAGCCAGAGCGGGGAGCAGAACAGGCAGACTGACGAAATACACTGCTGAGGGGAGCAGCGGGTGAGGCTGGAGAGGTCTGTCGCGCCATGGGGGACCCTTGCCGGCAGCCAGGGATTGAACCAGCGCTGCAGAGGCTGTGGGCGGCTTTGCAGCCCAGCGCTCAACCTCTGTGCCACCAGGGGAGGCCCAGACTTTTACATTTTTAACCAATCTTTTGGATACGAATAGTATCTTTCTGTAATTTTAATCTATCTTTCCCTGATGCTCGTCAGAAGGTTTACAGGCCCAGTTGGTTCCTATTCTGAGAATTTCTTGTTCATTTCCCTTCTCAATTTTTCTATTGGGTTGTTTAATTTGAAGGAAATCACTTCAAATTTGTAATTCTGGATGCTACCACTTGTTGGTTATATGTCTTGTAAATATTCTTTTAGGCTACTATTTTTCACTTGTAATGGTGTCTTTAATTTTAGTCAAATGAGTAAATCTCTTTCTTTATGGGTTTTGAATTTTGTGTTAAAGAAATCTTTAATAACCAAAGGTCATAAACTGTGACCTACATTCACATTCCTTCATCTTTCAAAAGTTTTAAATGTCACATTTAGAGCTTTTGTATGTCTTCCGGTAGGCATCTGTTTTCTTTTTTAACATGAATAACTTTTTTAACATGATACTGGTTGGACCAGTATCATTTATTAGAAGTCTAACCTTTTTTTCATTGATTTGTTATGCCTTCTTCAAACAAGGAACTATTTTGAGGGAATTTGTGAAAGTAGAAACAATAGGACCATGCAGTTGCTTGGACTTGGGGGTGCAAGTGAAGGGGAGCGTTCAAAGGCAAGTCTGTTTTATCCCTAGGTCTCTAGGAGAAAATTAATAGTTCACTTATGTGGCAATTCATTTAGTCAACAAATATTTGAGTCCCTTCACCCCTACTACTCCACCAAAACTCCTTTTCAAGGTCACTGATGATACCATATTGTTAATCCCATTGGCAGCATCTCAGCCTTCATCTTATTTATCCCAACATTAGCATTTAACATAGCTGAATATCTTTCCACATCTTTATTTGGCTTCCAGGCAACAAATTTTCTTAGTTTTTCTCATTCTTCACTATTTAGTTCTCAAGTCTCCTTTGCCTGCTCTCCTCTCCAGCATCTTAGTATTGGTATACCCCAGATAATAGTTTTTAGTTCTCACATCTTTATGTTGGTGTTCTCCTTCAGTTGTTTTGCTTTAAATGTCAGTCATAAGTCAACTAAAACTAAGATAGTCTTTTTAGTCTAAAAATATCTTCCATTATTACAAACGGTTTATGTCCAGCTGCCAACCCCTTGTTCTCAAGTCCAACCACCTAGCCTCCTTGAAAATGCTAAGTACCCTTCTGTTTCCAAGGATTTTAGATGTCTGTTTCCTGTGTCTACACTTCCCATGTA